TTCTTGACAACATTAGGTGGTTAGTTATGGGGTTCCCAAAGTGCTGTGGGGGAGGGGGAAGCTATTATGACTGAAGTATATGTAATTAATAGAACACCTGCTAGCTCCCTTGATGGCAAATCTCCTGAAAAGGTCTGGACTGGAAAATTACCAGATTATACCCACCTTAAGACTTTTGGCCGTGCTGCCTACTCTCATCAAGGTATTGGCAAGCTAGAATCAAGATCTCCGAAATGTGTTTTCATGAATACCTTGAAGATGTGAAAGGATATAGACTATTGGCTAGAAGCATTAAAGGTTTTAAAATGATTGCTAGTAGAAATGTGAATATTAATGAAAATGATATGCCTTGTATAAGTGAGAAGCGTCAAGATGACGTTCTTATAGTGACAATGAAGATGTGTCCAGGCTGCAAATGGAGCTTTGGTGTCCACCTGACCCCATGGATCTAGTGCAGACTAAAGGAAAAATTGATAATGCTTCTAACTTTCATGAGGATAATGAAGGGACTATTCAAGAAGAAGGTGGAATGTATAATAATCCATTAGAAGATTATCCATTAACTAAGGATAGAGTTAGGATGGAAATAAGAGACCCTGCTAGGATTAGAGATTATTAATACTTAGCATCTTATCTTACCAAAATTTTGCCTATAGAGAACCTAAATCTTATGAAAAGGTTGTTAGGTATCAGTTATCTAGAAATTGGCAACTTGTTATGGAAGAAAAAATGGATACCCTATTAAAGAATAACACCTGGACTTTGGTCCCTAAACCACAAAATAAATCCTTAGTGGACTGTAAGTGGATCCATAGTATAAAAGAAGGTAATTCTGTGAAATAGCCTGTCAGGTTTAAAGCCAGACTTGTGGCAAAAGGGTTCACTCAGAAGCCTGGTATTGATTACAATGAAATTTTCTTACTTCTTGTTAAATATACTACCATAAGAGTCATACTAACTCTTGTTACTCAATATGATCTTGAACTTGAACAGATCGATGTAAGAAACCATCAATATGAATCAACCACAAGGTTTTATTGATGTTAAGAAATCTAAGCATGTTTGTTTATTAAAGAGATCTTAATATGAACTTAAACAATCACCTAGACAATAGTACAAAAGATTTAATAACTTTGTATCATCTCTTAATTTTATAAGAAGTTCTTTTGATCATTGTCTTTACCTTAAAAGGGATAAAATTGGATCTGTGATTGTCTATTTGCTCCTTTATGTTGATGACATATTGTTTATTGGCAAGAATATAAGTGAAATTAATGACATTAAAAAGTCTTTAAGTTCTGAATTTGAAATGAAAGACTTAGGTCATGCTAGAAGAATTTTAGAAATGGATATTAAAAGAAATAGGTCAAAACAGAGTTTATTCCTATCTCAATCTTCTTATGTGGAGAAAATGTTATCTAAATTTTTAATGCATGAATCAAGGTTTGTTACCTTGCCAATTTTTCGTCATTTTAAACTTAGCAAAGATCAGTGTCCTATTGATGAATCTAATATTAAATACATGCAAAAGGTGCCTTATGATAATGTTGTGGGATCCATCATGTACACTATGATATGCCCCCAGACCAGATGTTGCCTATGCAATTAGTACTTTGAACAGGTTTATGGCCTATCTTGACCCTAAACATTGGACTGCATTAAAATGGTTACTAAGATATTTAAAGGGTTCTTATGACTTCAGATTATGCTTTAGATTTTGTAAAAATGGTGTTATTCTGAAAGGTTTTGTAGATTCTGATTATGCTGGAGATAGGGACAATAGGAAATCAACCACTTCTTATATGTTTACTTTATGTGATACTTGTATAAGTTGAAAATCCCAACTACAACTTATTGTTGCCTATCTATCACAGAAGTTGGATATATGGCTGTCACTTAGGCCATAAAAGAGTCTTTGTTGTGTGAATAAATGAACTCTGTAATCTAGTAGTTGTTTATTCTGATAGTCAGAGTGCAATATATTTATGGAAAAGAATAATAATCTATTTTTTATGAAAAGGACAAAACATATAGATGTTAGGATGTACTTCGCTAGAGATATAATTCAAAAGGAATCTATATTGCTAGAAAAAATTCCAACTCAATTCAATCCTACCGACATGGGAACTAATGTAATTCCTCTGAACAAGTTTAAATCATGCTAACAAAAGCTAAACATTGATATTGGGTTGTATTTGTGATATTGCAGGTGACTTGTTATTTCTTTTTCCTTTTTTTTTTATGCTGATGATCACAAGAACTCAAATGAGTAATCTTATCCTGCTTAGATGTATAGATCATTGACATCAAGGTGGAGGGATTGTGATGCTAAAGTCCAATCCAATACAATTCTGGAGCAACGATAAAATTGGTCCTGTACCACAGATACTACTTATCATTGTCTGATAATGCAAGTGAAGAAACCCACAACCCGAGACCAATATATTTTAATACATGTGTTGCTCTGGACTATTGATCACTCACTGATATCAACAGTTGCTATCAAGGTGTGTAAAAGGGACTTTTGTGGTTGCCCTAGATGCATGATTCATTTGAGTCTTGTGTAGAACTCTCTCTCTGTCTTCTGGTTTCCTTCGTATTCATTTTACTCCTCTCTTGAACTTCTAGTTTGGGGGAATTCGACGTAATCATAGAGTCTAAGGCACCGTTTGATAGTCCTCCTTTTCCATGGAACTTAGAAAATAAATTCCATTTTCCATCTTAGTGTGTTTGATGGCAAAAAATTGGCATGAAATTCATTTTCCACTTCTGGCCTCGCGTGATGGCTTTTTTAGCCTTTTAGTGAATTGCAATTCCTGTCAAACAGGTGGGAATTGCTTTTCCAACTTTTTTTTTTCGTTGCAGATTTTTTTTTTTCTGGCAATGAAAACAAATTTTAGAAAAAATTGTAAAAGATAATATCTCTTAAATTGACAATTTCAATATAAAACAAAGCCAAATGAACATTGTTTCATGGATGATTTTTGGTTTTGCTAGATTATTATTATTTTTTTTTTTTTTTGCAATGGAATCAAATTCTATAAACAATTGTAAAAAAAAGATATCCCTTAAATTGACAATTTTCATGAAAAATAAAGTCAAAGGACACTTTAATTTCAACATTTTTCAGATGAAAAATTATACCAATCAAACACTATTAATTCACAATTCCCATGAAAACAATTTTTAGGCAATTCAATTCTCTGGAATTTGTTTTCTTTCCACCCAAATTTCATCTTTACAATCAAACGGACCTTAAGTGATTCTTAGCGTGAAGGAAAGTGTTGATATCATATGTGGTGTTATTTTTGGTTCATTGAAGTAGCCGTGATTCGTACTTTGAGGGTTAGGGTTTAAGGTTTTACATTGTACAGAAATGTACAATGTTTTGAGCCCTAGATCATCAATATCTTTGATGTCAATGTTCGATTCTTGGTTTTAATCTGTAGAGGAAACTATTTTCTATATTGCAGTCATTTTTCGATTTCTTGTTAAGGAATAAATCTCTTACCAGATAAAGATGAAAATATTGATCAACTTGATTTGAGTTATTCCTCGTAATAAGGTTGATTTTTTAATATACAACTCCAGATTTTAATAATAAGAATTTTACAGAATGAAATATTTTTGAACTTAAAATTCGACACTAAAACAAAAAACAAAATGTGATAATCCTGCTAATAGCTTCAACAACAATCTCAATTATGTGCTTGTACAATTGATCCACCATACTTCGTTACGTATGCCAATGCAAATTGCATGGAAGAATACTACGTTGGTATTTCAAGTTAAGACCTCTTGTATAGCAATAAATTCTCAAATTCAAAAATTACTAGATTTTCCCTGGAACAAGTTAAAAAATAAAAAATAAAAAAAAAATTCCTGAGATGGATTCTTTGAAATGGGAAAATGGGCTAAATTGGAAGATCAGAAATATCAAATTAATCAATTGTCTCGATTTTCAAGGAAAGAATGACTAAACCCAATTTTTGTGAGAACATAGGCAAACTCTAGAATTTGAGCAAAGAGCATAACAAATATCTGCAGATTAGTTAACTTGGGACAATTTTAGCATTTCAATCGTAAAAAAATCAATATAAATTAGATATAATCATCGAAATCTATTCATCCTTTGTTTCCCATTTGCTTGGTTTCTTCTTGCATAAATGACCTTATTGATCTTTGATTCTCTTCTAGCAAAAACCAACAATTATTTAGATGAAGATTTTAAGCACTTAGCTGTAACTTTTCACAAAACATTTGGCAACAAAATTCCAAGATTTTAATTTTTCTCCTCCTTGCATGCCATCGAAGCATAATCATCTATAAATAATAAATCAAAGTAAAAAAAGTCCCAGAAATTCGAAATTTGCAATCAAATATCAGACTTTCATTTCGACTCCCCAATTTTCTTGATCATGATAAGAATGTATACACTACAAGAAATTTATACTTTCCCTACAAAATTTATTTGTAGGGAAAGGTTCATATTTGTGGGGAAAAACCTTTGCAAACGAAAAAGTTTTGTAGGCAAGTTTGTAGGGCAAACATCGAAGAGGGGATAGGTATAAGATGACAATTTTTTGAAATTTGTGGGCTAAAACTTTTCCCTATGAACCCTTTGGAGACGAATACAATTTGTTGCGTAAGTTTTCTCCCGACAAAATAATTCATCTGCTAAAATTAATTTTACCTACAAAATGTTTCACTTTTTCCTACAAATCATGTTGTTGGCTAAATTGTATTTTTCCCTACAAATAATTTTTTTGTATGAAAAGGGTACTTGTTCTAAAATGGTACATATTATTTTGTAGGCTAAACTATTTTTCTCTACAAATATTTTTTTGTGGGGAAAGCACAATTGTAGGATATTATGAAAGAATTCATAGGAAAAAAAATTAAATTATTTTCATATATTTTATTTTTTATTTATATTGTAATAATTTTTTAAACCTTATTCAAAATAATATAAAAATGCAAAAAGATAGTGTCAATCAACATAACATCGAATCCAAAAATATTTTATCAAACAACAAATAAAAACCATTTACTAAGTATCATTACATCTAAATTTAATAAAAGCATGGCAAGCATGCTCTATATCTATAATTATGCACCTAAAAAATAGAACTCTTTATCCTCATGAATTAGATAGGCAGCAAATCATCCTATTCTATCAGGTAGAAGATCATAAAACTAATCCTATTGCTCCTAACTCGAAGATGACAATCGTTGATCCTGATTCGGCATTTGCAGTCCTCCAGACAACACCCACACCTAGAAAAGATGCTACCTATTGAGAGATGTGCTTCAAACCTATTTAAGAATAAAGTTATGAGTAAAATAACTTATACAGAAAACTTCGTTAGCATCAAGTAATTCTTCAAATGGAATAGGACATTCGCCAACCAGGCACATTTGGGAAAAATTCTTTGAGCTTTAAGAATAAAGTCATTGGTTGTTGGCGTAGAAAGAAAATTTCTCCATACAAGTGGATTAGCTAACTACCTTCGAAATGAAGACTGAACAAGAAGAGGCCTCTTCAATATATCTCTTATTCATAGAATCAAGGTATAAGACATTAGAGAAGCCTCTGTTCCATGCTCTGTTTAATGATTTCAAAACCTACAAAAGTTGTTAACGTATTAAAGCAATAAAATCTTCTACAAAGCAATAAATGTCAAACAAGTGAAAGAGGAAACTACAAGGTTATTATGATCTTCCAGCATATATTTTACCGGAGCATAATTTGTAATGCTTTTGACACCTCCAACCCTCGCTTGTGCGGAACGATGAAATTCATCCTGAACATATAGGTTCAAGGGTACTGTACCCTCCTGTTGGTAAAAATTCCAAGATGATTACTCAAATGTTGCAAACGCTATAAATGGTAGAAAAAAACTTGTAATCCTTTATAAACAGAACTAGTATGGCTTTGATACCAAGTGAAGTTTGGGAAGACTGAAACCTAATTCTGTTCCAAGTAGAAATTACAAAGATAAATACAATGTAAGAATTGAATTCTAGAAAGCTTAACAGTAAACCATCCTATCATCCTAAAAATAGATAGAAAAATTAGGAAATATCCCACTCTATATGAATAGCTTATTTTAGAAACAAATCCAATTCAACTATTCTAACACACCCAAACTAAATGCAGAAGTTTCAAAGCAACATCAATGATAACAATAACAATAGGAAGACATATGTTGCTTTTCCATCTTTTATGCGCTGTAGAAATATGCCATTTTTTTAAGTTCATAGTCAATCACTATATGATTGCTCCAACAGCCATACACTCGGGATATTTACATAAGTTGAAATATCAAAAGGCGAAAAAGCGATTACCAAAATATAACATTGCTGAAAGGAAAAATACAACTGAAATTCAAAGTTCAAACAAACAAATGTCATGTCCTCATAAACTAAGATGCTGATGCAACAAAACATAATGCTAAAAAATGCAAATAAAATAAATTAGAAGTATGTAAGATCACATTTAAGTTAGACTGCAAATGCACATGTATAAGTGCCATCATGTATGTACAATAAGGAGGCTTATCCACCAAATATAAAGTGTACTATGCATTACCACAAATTGCAGTTGATACCAAAGTTCTACTGTTCTTAGGCTCCCATCTGCAATCCTAAGCAATAAATCAGTACAAAACTTGTAATCCTTTATAAACAGAAATAATGTTTTGTGTGGTTATGATCACTTTGACAGCTGATAACAAGCCAGGCTTCAGGGTTTTTCTACCCAAACTTAAGTTAAAAGTGTACCAATATCTTTGCTTATTTGCTCTCCAAATGAAATTACTGGAAGAGCTGAGGCAAAAAGGATATAGGTAGTTGGAACCAGTATTCTGGTGCATAAGAAAAGAGGTGTTTGTTAGAATTTTCGTCTCCAGAACTCTTATTATTATTTCACTTTTTTTCTGGTCCTTCATTATAAAGATTGTTTTAACAAGAGATTCGACGTACCCGAATCCTGAACGAATTCCAGCATTCCAATCTTGCTTATAATAAATAGAAAAGTTAAAGGCCCAATTTCACAATCAGAACTATCATAGAAAAAACAGTGTATTAAAAGACAACAAAATGTAAATCACAAATATTACACCAAGATTGATACTTTTCAGGTAGATAAAAAATAATTAATTTTTAAATAGTATATACCAGCAACCAAAAATGAATCCATTCTGTTCACCTAATGTTTCAAACGTTGCTGTTAAACTAAATACAAATATAAAACTAAATCAAATCAAGTTTGAAGAAAAACACGACTTCAAATCCCCAACATCTACCCGAAGATAAAACTAAATCAAATCCGTTCACTCAAGACTTCTAATTCATCGATTTAAACCAAAAAAATGTATAGGATTGATGGTCATACCTTGAATACGTCTTGAAGAAGAACTCAAAATCTGTAGTAGATTCAGCCGGAATTTGTTAACCCAAATCGATATTATGCAATTGAAGAAATTGGAATTGCAACCACCAGATCTACAAAAAAGTTTGTGGCTAAATAAATTGGAATTAGGTTTGGTAGCCACGGATTGAAGCGGCAAAGAGGGAAGAAACTTTCAGTGAAATTTTTTGGAGGCAGTCGATTTTTAGAGAAATATTTGAGGCAAGATTTTGGACGAATAAAGGATAAGAGAATTTTGATGTGAGTTTTGGAAGGACTAAAAATACAAATAAAATTGAAATTTTTTCCCGCTAATCGTTGGCCTACAAACATTTCAAATTTTTTGTAGGCTAAAAATATATCTAGCCCTACAAATTTTATTGTTAGGAAAAAATATAATTTTTTGTGGGCACAGATACTTCCACTATAAAAAACTTTGAATCAAATCATAACCCTACGAAATATTTTTTTGTAGGGAAAAGTGCACTTCGCCCACAAATCTCAATTCGTTTTCGGAATTTTTTAAGGAAAGTATATATTTCTTGTAGTGATAGATCATCAATAAGATTTTGGTATTGTTTAATAGTGTACGCACGCAAAACCATGCATACAATCTAGCTCCTGATTGGTGGCTTTAAAATTATATAAATATAGGATTGAATTATTATTATTATTATTATTTTTGAGAATATGTTATTAAAAAATAAGGAAATTTTTGGAATTTATTGTAGAATATTTTATTATATGAATGTAATTAAAAATGACTATGAGAAATAAATTAAAATAAAATAAAGAAAATCAAACAAGGGCATAATTTCAATCAAACTCTGTACCCAAAGTTCCCGATCCCTCAACATTCAACAAGGCAGAAATAAAAACCCCTGCTTCTACTCCCTTTTTTTTTTTATTTTAACCAAAAATTATCATTTCTACGTTGATAATTAACAAAAATTAAATTTTAGGGTTTGAGAGTTGAAATTTTAGATTTTTAAGGAGGGTTTCTCGAAATGTTTGGGAATGTTAGAGAGAGAGGAGTGGGAGAGACCGGATCAATTGAAGTTTAAGTGGGTTCAAGACTTGGGCTACGGATTAGGTGTGCTTAAATTGGGTTCTAAGCTTGGACGGCTTCAAAATGATCTGAGTTTAAACTTGAGAAAATTTCATAAGAGTTTATATATCACACATTTCAAAATTAAGAAAACAAGTTTCAAATTTCAAAAATTAAATTTTTATTAAAATTGATTTTTGATTTAATTCATTTATTTATTAATTAAATATATTTAGATCACAAATCTATACAATTTGGTCACAAATTAAAATTTTAATTAGTCACTTATTATTTTTTAATCACAAATCAAAAATTTTATGTCACATTATTTTATAATCACAATTCAAAAATTTTGTATTCTATAGTTTGTTCATCGATCACAAATCAAAAAATTAATTAGTCACGAAATAATTTTTAGTCACAATTTATCAAAGTATTAGTCTCAATTTATTTCTTGGTCACAAATAAAAAATTTTATAGGTCACATATTATTTTTATGTCACAAATCAAAAAATTTATAGGTCACAAATTATTCATTGGTCATAAAATCAAAACTTTTATTGGTCGCAACTCATTTATTCATTGCAAATTATTAGATTAATTAACCACGATTAATTTTCGATCACAATTTAATCAATTGTGAGTCACAGTCACAATTTTTAGATCACATATTACAAATAACCAATTATTAGTCACAATCAACCAAATAATTAGTCATGAGCATCCAACCCCATCTCATTCCACTTGAGACCATCGCCACAACCACAACCACCATCACTATCATCATTACCGCCCCGCAACCTCCAAAATATGGAAGCTGCAACCACTACCACTTCAACAACCAAAACCAATGCCTCATCAATATCAACCACCTATACCACCACCGCACCACTATCACTACCACAACCACCTTCACTAAACCACCGTCAACGTAGCAGAAAATTTGAAATAAAAATATGAACTGCACACCACCATCACAACCGTCGCACTGCACACTATCACTACAACCACCATCACACCATACACCACCATCACAGCAACCATAGCCACAACTATAAAACCACCATTACAGTACCCAAACACTGTCAACCAACACAACACCACCACCAAAACCACCATCAACACCACCACAAAATCCCTAACACATGCCACTGTCTGCACCATCTCACCACACCATAGCCACCACCCCTATCAACAATTTTAGCCACCGTTAACACCACCACAAAATCTCTAAACCCACCACCGCCTGCGCCATCTCACCACACCACAACCACCACCCCTACCAGCAATTCTAGCCACCGCAGTCACCACTCATCAACTGGAAGAAGGTCCATTGTCCATGTACGCGGTGACTTGTCTTTTCAGCATAGCGTCGTTGTGAAGACGACAGGCTT